AAAAAACGATCTAATCATTATTTATAACAACAGGAAAAGAAGAAGGTCAGGGTTAGCGTTGTTACATATAGATAGATAGATAGACACGAGTATACGCTATATAAATGGTTGATTCCAATAGCAAATGATATACAATAGCGAAGCACGACATCTTTCTTCTATTTTTATACATACCAGCACTATCAATACCGCTGCTATCTTTATTATCTGGTGCATATAAACGTTTTCCATTATTAATTGCTTGTTCAACTTGTAGACGACGTTGATTAAGTTCAGATGTAATACGCTTGAAAAAACAAAACAAAAAAAAGGATGAAAAATCATTTAAGTCGAGATCAAAGAAAAAGATTATAGGGTAAATATCATCTTAAATACAAGATTTTGTTTATTCATGAATAGTAAATTTAAATTGTATTAATTAATTTAATTTAACTATTCAATGCATGTTCATTTGAAGGTTTACTCATGTAAGAAAATGGCGGAAATAAAATACGTCGTGCTTCTTTTTTTCTTCTCCTCATCGCTCTATATACCTTAGGGATATACCAATGAGATCTCTAAATAATATTGGTTTGTACAATATAGATCATATGATTAAAAAAGAAGAAATCGTCGATTAAATAATAGACCTAATTATTGCTCAAATTTGATTGTATTATGTAATATTTTATCACAACTGTGATAAAAATGAATAGCGCTCACCTGGCAATCAAGAATAAGTCTTTCATAATCATGAATAGGTTGTTTTGAATTAGTCTGAATTTGTTCTTCAATATCTCGTATACGTGTAATTAATAGATTTATATTATTAATAATATTGTCGATATTTGTTTTGATTGTTAAATTTTTTTTTTGTATATCTTCAATTTGTTTTTTAAGTTGAAGAAAATGTTCTTGTAAATATTCGATATGTTTTTTATCACTAATATTTGAAATTTCTGGTAGATGCGGTCGATTTTTAATCTGTTGAAGTAAATTCTACAAAAAAAAAAAATTTTTTTCTTTCTTTTATTTCAAAAAATAAATAAAATACTTTTAATTTTGTTTGACTATTTTCACTTCGTTCATATTGAAGAATATTTTCTTCTAATTCTTTTAAATATTCTTCATATTCATCGATAGTTTTTGCTATATCACTCGTTGCTAATGGTGCCGTAATACGAGTTTTCTGTTGATCATTTAACCATTGACGAACTTGAGTAGTCATATCTTTTGGATAATTATCAATTATTGTTAGAATTTCATTGGCAGCTATAACAGCATTATTTTCAGTATTAAAATGTGCAACAAAATTTACACGAAGATGATCAATATGTGATGTATCAATTAACATTTGTTGTAGTATCAATTGCCTATTGGCAAGCTCATTATATGCTAGGCAAATAAAGAATAATAGATGAAAATGAATATAAATATTTATAGTTACTTATGTCAGATAGAAGAACTTCGTTCAAATTAGATACTTGCAAATCTTTACAATATATTACAAACGACTATTAACAAAAAAAAAAAGAAGGAAATGAACAAAAAAAAGAACATTTGTTATATTATACTGTAATTTTATTTTTAAGTTGTTCAATTTCTCGACGATTACCTAATTGTATATTAGTAGATAATAGTTTTTGGGCTTGTTCAACTATATTATGTTGATGTTCATTTACACATGTTGATGATAATTGTGTAGTCACTATATTCTGTGAATTAGTGGCTATAACAAAAGAAGAAGAAGAAGAAAAAAAATGGGGAATGTAAAAATGAGCAAAGAAAAGAAAAAGAGAAAATACGACTACTACTTCACTATTTCTACAAATTATGACGGAGGCGAAGTGTAAGAAAGGTGAACAACTAACTATGTAACGATGAAGAGAAGAAGAAAAGAAAAGGAACTTCAAATCAGGTGTTCACTCAACAAATGAAAGAGGAAAAAAAGGTGAGATCATCATTAACAATACATCGTTCTCTGTATATATATATAGGTGTCATATACATTTAGTTGACAGACGAAGCATTGCTTATGATATGTATATTGATAATATATCAGTTTCGATTAATCATAACAACCTTATCGAAAGATAAGCTGTTGTTTTATTCACTCGATGAATTATATTATATCATGCATAACATACATTACTCTCTATCAAAAGACTACTCAATTTTTTCTTTGTATATGTCCTATATTGTGTTTGCTAAAAGAATTTACTAAAAATAGAAACATGGAAATAAGAATGTGTTGTGTAGTACTAGTGTTTAACTTCCTGTACTAGACAAGAACAAGCATTGAAGAGTATGATGAAAAGGCGGGACTAGAAAAGAATTCAATTACATGTTGGCTTTTGTCTTTCTCCCTTTTTTTCCCTTGTGTAGTATGTTTGGTCTCTCTATCTCTCTTTGTGTTTGTCATAAATTTTCTCCTATGATTATTATTAGTAACCATCAATAGTTTGAATGAAACAAGGCATCGATAAAAAACGAGACGGATTAACTACAATATAGAAGACATACATTAAAGCTGTTTACTAAAGGAGGAGGAGGAGGAGGAGGAGAAAAAGAAATCATCTTGAGATTTCTTATTCGATTTCTTTTTTTTTCACTATAAATGAGGTGATGATTAGACTAAGTGAATTAATCAAACACATATGCTTATGAAATTATTATTGATGAGTGTTTGACTAGATGAAGAATAAAAAGGATCGTCTTACATCATCAAACTTACTCATCGATAATAAATCGTTCCACATGTGAATTAAATTTTGAATTTGTTCATTGATGTTTACATCATTTTCTTGTTTAAATTTTGTTAATTCATTAAAATGTTCTTGTTGTTGACTTATAAATAATTGAATTGTCTATTGAAATAAATATTATAATAATACAAATAAAATTTTTGAGTTTTACTTGTTCATCAATTGTTTTCGATTCATTCGTAAATTTTTTTAACCAATTTGCAAATGTTTCTAATTCATTAATAAAACTATATTGTTGTTCAATTCGATTCTCTAATCGCATACGCATTGTTATAATAGATGTACTAACCTTTGAATATATAATCTAGATTTTTTTTTTATAAAAGAAATGAAAGTTACACGCACTTTAGCTAGTTCATGAATTAATGAATGACAGATTGCATCAGTTGTCAGACTATCAATAGTATTTTTAAAATTATTTAATTCTTCTTCACATTTCTATGAGAATAAAAAATTTAAGAAAAATTTTTCTCATTTTTTATTTAAACAAACTTTTATTTTAGAGAGAAGTTGATCATTATCAGATAAATTATTTATATTGATTTGTTCCTGTTCATTGATCAATTGTCTAGCTGATATTAAACAATATTCAATATCTTTAGTTAGATCTTCATATTGATTGAAATATGATGAATTCATTGAATCAGTTGATAAGTGTCTAAAATACAAAAATAAAATTTATCTTCAGAAAATTCAAATAACCTTTCTTTTAGTGTATTTAATCCTTCAATAAGTAATTGCCATTGATTTTCCATATCGATAGTTTCACTGATTAGCTTTTCTTTTTGTTTATCGGGTATATCGCAGATCATTGTTGAATTGAATATTGGTTGATAAAACTGAAAAAAGAAAGATATAGTTTGATAAAAGCTTTCTATTGTTGATGTTATGATTAATAAGTGTATAGCAAAATCTATGTTGATGAATGATCTGTTGTTCTGTTTAGATATCCAGTGAAACAAATGATGGCAAGATAAGTAAATTCGAATAGATTACCGGATCTATTTTTCTCTTTCTGGATATCACAAAAGCAATCTTTACTAACAGTATAATATTGTAGGATAGAAAAAATACATATATACTTGTATTTTACCTTTCGTGGAAAATTTTTGTTTGAAAAAAATTATGTATGAAAGATAAATCTTCTGAACTGTCAGTCTTATCTAATACGGTACAAATATATTTTTTTGTTCTCAATAAATAAATCCTGACAGTTGTCATTCTTTATTAACACAATATCAGATTATGTGAAACAACGGTGTTGAATTTTGATAGTAGAAATATTTTTCATTTCATTTTTTTATTACGTAGGTGAAATTAGCACCATATTTACCTAGAACGGACTCTACGTAATAATATGCACATATTCCGCATAGCTCAAATTATAATTTTCGAATATAATGCTAACTTCACCGACATGATGAGAAAATCTGTTCGTATTACTTTCTGATATGAACTATAAACCAAAAGCAGCACACTTACTAGGATAAAGTAGTAGATCGAATTAAGAATGTTTGTAAGAGATACAAAATATGTAACAAATGTATTAGTTTCACGTTTCTTTATTTTTGCACTTATCTATATAATAATTCGTAGCATTCTTGCTATGTATCATAAAATGATTAAAAACAAAATGAAGTAAATCCTTTAATAAACATACTTTAAGAACGAATAATATTTTTCGTTTCTTGATTGATTATTAAAGTTAATCAAACAAATAACTGTTGATGTATAATCCTATTGAGTTACTGTCTTGTTGAGTGATATAAAGCTAATGATGGCTTTTTTTTTCTCTTCATAACCCATAAAATACTAATAAGTATAAAAACTAATATGATTCTATATGAACGATTTCTCTCATCTTTTTTATTATGCTTCTTTCTTCATCATCATTTATTCTTACCCTTAGGGTTAAAGAAAAGAATGAAGATGTTTTCTAATAGAAATATGAACATACCATAAGCTAATATATTTTGACTAGAAATACGCATGCATATAGAGTGTAATCAACCATAACAAAGTAGATAGAAGAGTTATGAACTATCACGACATACATAATCGTTAGATTATATGGCGTATTAGTAGAGATTTTTAGCATGAACTAATTTGTTCGATATTTTAATTAACATAATCAAAATATTGTTTTGACCTTTAATATATCCGAGAAAGGATTTTTTTCTTGTTCTAATAAGGAAATTCCAGCTAATTGATCGAATAAAAATCTTATATTTATTTTTTTGGTCATTACGTGACTATTCTTTTCTAAGATAAAACTTATAGTTTCTATCTCGTAACAAAAAAGAAAATAATTAATGATCAAGTATTATATTTCATTCTATCATATATATATATGATAATTGTTAAAGTTAAGAATAGATTTCTTGTTTTTATTCTATTGTACATAGCTTACTTTGAACTGATTAACTAATTTATCACCTTGCTGCAAGTCAGTTTGTTTTATATATTAGCAGGATTGAATAAATATTTATATAGAGTCGAGACAGACAGTAATACGTTTTGGACATAAGAAGTAAAAATCAGACAGTATGTTTTGTTTTCTTCATCACTTAGATTTGTTGTATAAACAGAAGAAAAATGAAAGTAAATCAGACAATGTAATGATAGATTTGCATGTTTTGCTTTTGATGACAATCCCGACACTAGATAAAATACTTGTCCGAAGTCTAATTGACACCTCTATTTTAGTAGCATGAAATAACATACGATAGTCTATCTAATATCTGTATGATAAAAGATAATTAATTATTTTTGATGATACATGTATTGATTTGATTAATATTTTTCTTATAGTAAATACTTATATATTTTATTGAAGAGAATGAGAAAAAAAAAGTGTATTGTACTAGTAAAAAGTTTTGAACAAATGAGAGAATAGATTTTTGTATTTTTTTGTTAATATTTGATAAAAAGAACCACTGCGCACTGGCACCGACATTTTAAAATTAGTCGAAAGAAAAAAGAAAAAAAAAACGAAAGAAGAAAAAAGAAAAGAAAAGAACGCATGTATACACACAGCAAACATATTTTTCTTTCTACTAGTAGAATATATATAGATAAGATTAACTCTCTCTCTCTCTCTCGCTCTTCGTTAATTAACAATTCGTGTAGGATGTGGTCCAATATGTTGAGTTGCATAAGCTTGTTGACGATAACTACCACCAGCACCACCCGCTCCTGGATATTGTTCATTATAAAAATATGGTGGATATTGTTCCTGTCTATGACCATTTGTTTGTCGATAACTAGATGATGCACTATGACTACCCCCACCACCACCGCCACTACTACCATTAACAACAACATTTGATGCTTCATAACGAATAGGTATTGCTCGATTAAGTGTTTGGCTTTGTCCACTTATAGTCGATGAACGTGCTTGCATACTAGCACTTTCTTGTTGTTGTTGTTGTCGATGAGAATCAGCACGTGATGTACTTCGTTCAGCTACATGTCGATCAATAACTCGTTCACGATACATTACTGGTTGTTGAGGAATATGAGCTGGTACTATTGGTACTTGTACAGGAAAACCACCATTGGGTAAACTAGCTGATTTTGATATTGAACT